CAAGTGACTACCGGTACACCTATTGAATGATTTAACTATTGTGAACTAAAGTAACATTAATTTTGCTAACACCAAAAGGAAAACAGTAGAACGGGAGGTACCAATTCCCGAGAACCAAACCTGTGGTGATTTGCAGCCCTCGATGTACTTGCAAGCTCACACACCGCTTCCCACCGCCCTTTGCTGACGCTCGTCCAGGTTGCTCTCCTTTGCTAGTGCTCGTGCGCCCAACTTATCTCCAACAATCTTTGAGAATTTCCCTGAAAACACAGAAAATACCACGACCCAAAAACCAAAAGAGCTGTCACCGCTACCACTGGTGTAGCACCGAAAGTAACTAGCAGCCGAAATTAACTGAAGAAAAACAACAAGCAAGCTTCTGAAATATGCGAGGAGATCCGGCAACATAACAGCAACAAACCGGTGACCAAACGAGTGCAACTCGATAGCAATGGACAGCGATTCAATCCGCCAAATTCCCAGTAATTATTAAGCTAAAATCAAAAATCGAAAATAGCAAAGAAACAAAATCGAAAATCTTCTCTTATTTCTGATTTTTCTTGTTTATTCTTTTTTAGCCCTTTCTAAAATTTCAAATCTGGATTTTTATTCCAGATCTGACAGCTTCCTCAGTGCTAGTTAATTACTTCAGCTAATAGCAACGTAGTAATAAATGGAGCCTGAAAATTACACACAATCTCATCTGGAAAAGGTAACGGAAAAGTTGAATCGCGGCCGGGAACTCACGCGCCGGCTAAGAGAAATGATAAAGAAACCAGAAGCACGCGCCGGAGATGGATCTGTAATATTGACCCAGATCCACTAATAACATTGAATAAGAAAAATAAAATTTAATTTAAAAAAAACTGCCCGGCTCGCCCGAACCCGCTTAGCCCGAACCCGTACGGGCCCTAAAAAACTCGAAATTTCCCAACCCGCCAGCAGCCCGTTTTCCCAGCCCGCTAACCAGCCCGTCTGCTAACCGAACAGGCTGGGGTTTTTACCGTTCAGCCCGTCCCAGCCCGTCCGATAAACACCCATGCTCCAAGGTCCAAATTAACCCAAGAAAAACACAAGAGCAACACTAGAAGTAATATTAGTGGAGTGTTCAGTTTTCAATTTGTCACTTTCGGGTCTGTACTTGCCCCGTTTCCGCTCCGTTTTCCTGCATCTCACAGTACTTCGTATTGTCGATTTTGTATTTTCTTTTTTTTCAATAGTGGAAAAAGAACATCTTCATTTTCAATTCAAGAAAAAGAATCGGGAAAAATCCTCTGAAGCAAAAACAAAAAAAAATTCTAGGATTAGGGTTTTCTCCTATCTCTCTCTATAATTCTTCATATCTCTGCATTTCCTTTTTTCTTTTTTCAAATAAAATTTTAACTCAATTCTCTATTTTCACATTTCTAGGGTTTTCATTTCCCCTGATCGACTTCCCTTTCGTCCCAAAGATCGAAGCTTTTTCACCATTTTATCGTTCAATGGTATTGGAAATTTTAAATTATAAATTTATTTGTTATTTCATCTATTAATTTGAGTATTTGCTTAAAATTCCTTTTGGTGTGTAAAGTTTTTAGCCTTTTCCTTTTCTTTACCTCTAGTGGGTATCTGTTATTTATTTCCATTTAATTTGGGTTTTGCTGGTTAGTATTATTAAAGTTTGAGACCTTTTTCGTGTCATGGGTCAACCATAATTATTGTGTTTTTTAATTTGTTTGTGCTGCATTCATCAGATTATATATAAATTTCAGCATTTTAGAATTTAGAGTAGTACAGTATCTGGGGTTGTGTTTTAATCTAATTTGGAGGGTCAATGTATCCTGCTGGTATGGATTATGCACGGGACAGTGGTACGGCTCTGATTCCTACACGTTTTGTGTGGCCTTATGGGGGAACAAGTGTTTGCTTGAGTGGCACATTTACTGGGTACTAACTTTAAGCTGGCAAAATTCATTTCATTACTGTTTCTTTTTTCTTTTTGTCTCTGTGTGTGCGCGCGCTCGGCTAACATCTTGTGTTTCTTACGGATAATTTTGAAGGTGGTCGCAATGGCCGATGACTCCTGTTGAAGGATGTCCAACTGTATTTCAGACTCTTTGCAGCATACCACCTGGTTACCACCAGGTTTGTTTTGTATTATGGATTAATATTATAAAGTTACGTTTTTTATAGAAGTGATTTGAGCGAATGATAGTACTATTAGTTTCAGTAGTTATATGCTTTGCTAGTGGATAGCAAACAATTGTGAATGTTATTCTTTTAATTAGTAATAGTAACTAGTTGGATAGCAGTAGGACTAGTTTTCACATATTTGTCGATTGTCGAAGGCTGTCATGCTGTCTATTGTGACAAATAATTTAGTTCTTGTAGATATCGACAGGTGACCTAACATCAATCTAGAGCAAATTAGAAAACACTTTCCCCGATTTTGGGATTTCTTAAGCCTTGCTGCTACTTGCCGAGACCATTAACCGCCTAGTCCAGTGTGTAAACTTGCTGATGAGCTACTTAGATGGTCATAAGATGTTTTATTTGACTTACTACAGCAAGTATGTGGGCCTGTCGTTGGATATTGGTTTTCATTGCTTGCTTTATTTAAGGATTGAAATTCATTTCTGGTGTGGAAACTCCTGCCATCTAGTTAGAATAGAGATGTAATGGAAGGAAGCATCTGAGTGGGGTGCTGGAGGGGGATGCTAGTAGGCCGTCTTTTTGGGAGTAAGTATGCCATTATATTCATCTAAACCAACGCCAAGGAGCAGGGTATCTAGATCATACATATTCATTAGGTTGCACCAAATTGCTGAAAGATACAAGCTTTTGTATGTAAGTCCATTTACTGCTGCGGCCTTACTTTAAAGATGATTCATTTCCTTCCACGTTGCCAAAAAGCAAGCTGCTATTGCTAACCAAGCACTCCTACGGTCCTTACTCATTTTCTTTCTAGACCAGCATAAAAGCATTTCCTTTGCTGGTGTGGGCATCATCCTTATTTTAGTCCGTATAAATTCAAAAACAGACACCTGAGCTGGCTGGCAGATGGTTAATTAGTTCTTCTAGACAACTGTAGTAGACAGAGAGTTCATACTCAGCTGTGACTGTTCAGTTTAAAGGCTTGCCAAAACTTTGGTTTCAGAATTAAGAAAAAACAAGAAAGAGCCTTTTATAAGTGTGAGGTCTTGCCAGCATTTTCCATGCACTTTCTCGTTCATGACGAGAGAAATATGGGACGGCCTTCGGAAGTCTTGCATCTTACCTGTGTCTCAGATCTGGGAGTCATTTTTATCTGTGTCATGATTTTGAGTTTTAATATCATTTGCCTTTTTTTTTTTGTTGCTTCTTTTCCTCATTAGATTTAGCATTTCAGCTTCCTTACATGAACTGATAAAGGATTTCTGGTTACATACTTTACTTGCAGTACAAGTTCATTGTTGATGGTGAATGGCGACATGATGAGAACCAACCTTTTGTGACTGGAAGCTATGGAACAGTTAATACTGTCCTCTTGGCTAGGGAATCGGACTACGTTCCAGCGGTACTAACTCCACGAATACCTCCTAGTTCTAGCATGGATGTGGATAGTCAGGCTTTTCAGCGCTTGGTAAGAGAATGCTGTACTCGTGCAAATTGCTGAACATTGCAAGTTGTTCATGAATGCTTAGGATATTGAGACTTTCTTAGTGTATCTATTATCATTTTAATGAATTTCTCCATCACATTGTATGCACTATTCTGTACCTGGAGCTGAGGATTTATGCTTTTGTATGTATATATTCTTTTGGTGCATCAGCCGTCACTCGTCATCAATAGTTAACTTCTATATGTCCAGTTTTTTGAAGAGGTCAGACATGAAGCCTCCATATTAACTGCATAGTTTATGTTTATTCTTTGCTGAACCAGCTCATTTGTGGTATGAGGGTGTCACTTCTTTTCTAGCCCCTTGTTTTCTGAGGCGCGATGACTTGATGACATTTTTAAGAACCTCTGAATCTATTTGTGAGACACCAGTCACTTTGGTCCACTAATTAAATGCTAAAAGAAGTGATCTTGAAGCACCCTGGTGTTCAACCATTATTGCCTATGTGACTTCTTTACTCCCTTCTTAACATATTCTCTTATATCCTCTAGAGGGGGAGCTAGTGACTCTGCCTTTTGACTTGTTAAAAATCTTTTTGCTTATATCTGTTGTAGGTAAGAGTGTCAGATGATGCTTTGCCAGATGATGCTTCCAGGATATCACAGACAGATTTAGATATTTCCCGTCACCGTATATCTGCAGTCCTATCAACACATACAGCTTATGAGCTGCTTCCAGGGTCAAGCAAGGTTTGATATATTTATCCTATATTTTGTCTAGGTGATGTGATGGGTATGAGTGTTTTGTTGCCTTTCCTGATTAGGGCTATTTTTCAGGTCATTGCTTTGGATGTTGACTTACCCGTAAAGCAAGCATTTCATATTCTTCATGAGCAGGTATATCTTCTATCGCGCTAGATGTCCTGTTTGTATCCTCATACGTATGGTACTTTCAGACTTTGTTACATTTGAGAACTGTTCTTCCATTGGGTCCAGCCTTGAAGCCTCATTTCCATTTAAAAGAGAAAAGTCAGGATGGTCATTGAACAGAAGTTTGTGGATGTCAGAACAGATTCTCTTATAGAATCATATTTTGTAATTTGTGATTTCTCATGCATTATTGTATGAGCCTTGTTCATTTACTAGAATTGGGAATAGAATGACTTGTTAGTTAATACTTCTGCTTCCTCTGCAGATACACTCAGTTTATTAGATAAGATTGCGCAATGCCCTATGCACTAAAAATAAAAATAAAAATAAAAAGATTAGGCTTTGCCGTCTCCATTATGCTGTTTATACTTCTAGATATTCTCTTCCTGAAAATCTTGTAAGATCTGTTTCTGAGCCGTATTATTTTCAGGGTATTCCTATGGCTCCTTTATGGGATTTCAGCAGGGCACAATTTGTTGGAGTCCTTAGCGCTTTGGATTTTATTTTAATCATGAGAGAGGTACACAGAGCTCTTTGCAAGTTTTAGTTATGTCTTATTTTTTTTGGGGACAACCATGGTGTCCAGGCACCTTGCACGCACCTCGACTAAAGTTTTGGTTATGTCTTTTAACTGGCAAATTCCTTTTAGCACTAATATGCTGCTATCAGTATTTGTATTTCTTCCAACATCTTGTACGACTTCTAATTGTTATGAATTTATTAATGCTGGTCCATTTTTTTGGGCTTACAATGTGGTCTGGCTTGTTCCCTTTGTGGTGCTATACTTTTGTTACTGCTTTGGAGGTGCCCTTGCACCTGTCTTATCTATAGACATACTGAAGGCGAAGTATGTGTAAAGTGACATTTGAAGGTAGCCCTCTGGTTTGCTTTTGTGCTTGCTTCCTATCATAACATGATCCATTATGCATTTTGGATATACCAATGCTTTTATTATATATATGTATGTTTGAGCAGCTTTGGCTTTGTCTCCCATCTATATTGTTTCAAAACTGTACAGAAATATTATTTCACTTTCTTTAAGCTGAAAAACCTGCACGTAGGAACTTGACCACCTCCAAGCTAAGAAAGGTGGAAATTTTTAAAAAAGAAATAGATGATACCAAAAGTTTTATATGATAAGTAGGCAAGTGCTGTAATTATGCCATTTTGGTAATCTAGTCAAATTACTTAACACTTGATTTAGTATCTTTGTACCTATGCTGTTATTACTTGAGAGTTCTATGTTGAAAGTTTCCCTTGTTGACATAATATGCCTTTACATTCCATCAAAATGTGGGTTTATGGGGTGGGATCTAGCTAAATTTATGTATTTTTTGTTTTCCCTAACGGCTGAGGTCTTATGATCATGCTTCATTTCAAAATCAACGATCAGTTAGTTGAAATCAGCTGGCAGGTTTATGGGGGCATTCGTTTTGTCTTCTGGCTGATTGCCATTTTTATGGTTAATCTTTTATGACACCATGCCATGATACATTTAGTGCTAACTTGCTACTTGAAGTTGTAGAATTTCTTGTAATTTTGCCATTTTAGTTATAGTTTCATAATGTTGTTAATAGTGCATCCTTCATGCAACACATATTGTGAGAATCTAGGGTGCATTTGCCCTAATTAGTATGTTTCTGAGAAAAGACATTCGGATGTTTTACTCTTTGCTCTCGTAAGTGATGGATTTAAAAAAAACCGTGGCCTATTGCAGCTTGGGAATCATGGTTCCAATCTGACGGAGGAAGAGCTTGAGACACATACTATATCTGCATGGAAAGAGGCAAAATCTTACTTAAGCAGACACGCCAATGAGCATGGTAAATCAGTTCCCCGACGACTTGTCTGGGTGAGTTGATTTGGCCTGCTTGAAATGTCAGTGTGCATAGCCCAGATTTGACCTTATCCTTTCGCCTTGCAATTGTGATGGATATTTTTGGTTATTGTTAAACACTTAAAATCCCCATTTACGTTCTCGAGCACTTTGCTGTAGTATTGCCATCCATATCTGTAACTTACAGATTTTGGTTGAAGAAAATCTTCAAGCATTTAAATCATGCTTATTTGTAATAGATAGGATAAAATTGAGGGTGGATAGCCTGGAGAATAAGATCCTGCTCTTTTATGGTTCTCTAAGAGTAGATAATAAGACTAATATAGTTTATATCGACTTGTTATTGTATCCTATACCTTGGAATCAATCATGAGTTTGATGATTGAAAATGAAAATGATGAAGGCCTACTAAGATCATCGCAATTTTGCTGCTATGAATTGCACACTTTTTCTATTTTGTAGGAGAGAATAGCATTCCCTGTTCCCATCTAGTCATTGCTGATGCGCTGTATTAATGTGAGATCAGTTGATTAAATTTGTTTAGTTGCATCTGGCTATTATGGCACTTTTCGTGCTAAAGATCCCGTACTTTTTTCTTTTACTTCTGTTATCTGTTTTTGATAAGGTTGGTTAAATTTATTGAAAGAAGTACCAAGGAGGTACAGAAAAGTACAACAAAGAGAATCTGGGATAGCTCTTACAATAATCAGCTCAGCGTATCCAAGACCTCCAAATACTGAAATAAGTTTTCAGCTACACTTTCCTTACACCAAAAGTATAAAACATTGTTAGTCTTATGTCCTGATTCATGAATCACAGACTCCTGTTGTGTATTTAGGACCTATTGTTTGTCATTTACTTCTTTTACATGGCTTGATTTTCACTATGCAATGCAGGCAGGGCCAGATGACAACTTGAAGAATGTAGCATTGGAAATTTTGCAAAATGGGGTGGCTACAATACCTATAATTCATTCACCAGCTCAGGATGGATCATATCCTCAGCTATTATATCTTGCTTCTCTTTCTGAGATACTAAAACGTGAGTTTTAAATTTTTCTTGGGTGTTCACTGACTCTTGGTATCGTGGCTCACAACTTTGTTAATTTTCAGATATTTGCAGGTATTTCAAGCATTCTCCAGAATCTTTACCAATTCTTCAGTTGCCAATTGGGTCAATTCCTTTGGGCACATGGGTTCCAAAAATTGGAGAGCCAAATCGACAACCACTGGCAATGTTGAGGCCTACTGCCTCTCTAAATGCAGCATTGGATTTGTTAGTGCAAGGTTAATCTTTTCTCAGTCTTTTGGCTAAGATCATGTATAATTACTTGCCCGCTAAAAAGTTTACTTCACACTCCTTTTCAAAAAAAAAGTTTATTTCACACTGTTATTGCTGAAGAATGTGCATTCTCAATTTTTGGAATCTTAATGGTTTCTGTCTCATGGTGATAAGTTTTGGCTAGTGATTCAATACGCTGTCTGATCTCAGTCTCTTATGTATGTTTTTGTTCCCTTTGCAGCTCAAGTTAGTGCAATTCCCATTGTTGATGATAATGACTCCCTATTGGATATATATTCCCGAAGGTTTATAAATGAATAGTTGTTTTGCCATACTTCACACTGGTAGATTTTGTAGTGTATGTAGACTTTCATTGGGTTAATTTGCTGAATCTATGGTTGGCAGTGATATTACAGCTTTGGCCAAGGACAAGATTTATACACACATAAGTCTTGAGGAAATGAGTATTCATCAGGTAGTGCCTTGAGCTCATGCAGTATTGATGTGTGTTTACATTTAAGTATATTTCTAGCTTCAATGGGTGTAGTTCAGTGGTATGACTGCTGTGCCTGGGCTTTTATTCCCTTGCTCTCACCTGCGGCTGAGCATTCCCTTTCCAGAAAGGTAGAATTTTAGTTTCCTCGAACAATTCTCAATGCAACTATGCCTCAGTCTCCAACTAGTTGGGTTGGCTGTATGAGGTTCTCTGTATCCTAAAATATTCACCGTGATTTGACTATTTATGCTGGCTGTTAACCTTCCACGGCCCTCCTCCTGAGATCGGCTTTGCTTTTCACGTAGGCATTGTTACTCTTCTCTCATTAAAAGATTCGCAAAAAAACTAGAAAATCAGCACATGTATCTTGCATATTTGCTTGGATGGGACAACAACTATATTTTGTGGATAAAAGGACAGCCCGGTGCACTAGGCATCCCGCGTTCTTCACGCAGTGTACTGGTAAGGGCCGCATCCCAAAGGGTGTGATGTAGACAATCTACCCTAATGCAAGCATTAGTGGCTGCTTCCGCGGTTCGAACCCGTCACCACAGTGAGACAACTTTACCATTGTTCCAAGACTCACTTTCAACAACTATATTTTGGGGATAGTTTTATGAAACTCGATCAAAGTTGGATGCCAGCGGTAATGAACTTTCTTGCCAGAATATATGTTATGCATTTGGCTAACAGAATAGTTGCTCGAGAGTCTTTAAACTTGCGGACATTTTAGCTAACAGGAAAAGAAGAAGAAGGGGGGGGGGGTAACGGGGAGGTGTTGGTCAGAGTTTAGGTGGTCTATGCTGCTATAAGCTGTTAACAACGCCGAACAGCTGGAATATTTTTCTTGGTGGAAATTCCTGTGTTTTCTTTTTTAAATCTATGGCAAGTTTATAATTTTTTACCCATTCATTCAAAAATATATACAGTACAGAAATCAATTCATCGTCAACTCTATAGTCGTCGTTCATGTTTTGGCTCAAGGAAAAACATCTCTAAGTAGTTTGTTTTGGTTAGATACAGGAACAATGCTGAGTTTATAATTTGCAGCTTATGTATGTAAACATACTTTTAGGTGCAGAGCTACATTGGTATATATACTCGAGATGTGTTTTCTGTTAATCTCCCTTTCATCTGTATATGTTTTTGCAGGCATTGCAGCTTGCAGAGGAACCATATGCATCGTATGGGTCGAGCAGTCAAAAATGTCACATGTGTTTACGTTCTGATCCATTGCATGAAGTGATGGAAAGATTGTCCAGACCTGGTTAAGCCTTTGTCCTCTTTTTTACTATGATACTATTGACTACAACACTCTTTTAAATCTCTTATCTGTTTAATCGTAGTATTAAATCTTCTTTGGCCTGTGATCTTTTCATGTGTTATAGTAGTAACTTGTTGCATATTGCTTGCAGGGGTCAGGCGACTTGTTGTTGTGGAAGCGGGAAGCAAACGTGTAGAAGGTATCATATCACTCAGTGACATTTTCAAGTTCTTGCTTGGCTAGCTGAAGCAAATAATTGACGGCAGACGCAATTTTGATGACGGTTGCCTTTATCAGTATTACTCATAGCTCATGGTGCACCCCATTTTTTATGGGGATTCGATCCCGATTCTTTCGTGTATACAATTGATTGGCCTCAAAGTATAATGGCCTGGTCTTTTAGGATGTTAGGCTAAAAGAATGAGGCATGTAAATTTTCACAATTGTTTCCCTCCTTTCACAGTTACTAAAGGATTAAGATCAGCTGGCCATATTTTCCTTAATAAGTATTATTAGGCAGGTTATGTTGCCATTATATCTGTTGCAAACTGATAAGTACAGTAAAATCACAGTACCTGTTAATAGTTTATCATGCAGTTACTATGGAAAAATGATTTTTTTTTTGGTTATTTGTTTAAGTACCACGAATTTGTGATTCGCAATGTGTTAATGAATTTTAAATTTGGTATTGGCCTTCCCACCATTATCTAGGTGAAAATAGCACGGGCTAGTCATTTTTCGGATTGGTAATTGAAAAATAGCTAGCGTTTGCAAATTCATTGAAAATAGCCACTAGTTTGCTGTAACACGGAAAGTTCCAGCATAATATACTTGAGATTGGTGCACCTGTGTATCAACTTCCAGCATATTATGCTGGAAGTTCAGTATATTATATTGGAACTCCAGTATATTATATTGGAACTTCAGTATATTATGTTGGAATATTTTTCGAATTTTGAACAATGTTTTCGTTTAGATTTATTTTTACATGAAAAGTGGCTAAATTTCGATTACTTTTGAAACTATGACTATTTTTCAATTACCACTTGTAAATCTGGCTACTTTTGAATTTCGGATCTCCTTATATAATAGGCAGGTAAGCTCGAGGTTCATTTATGTTCAAAACTTGAAACAGATATGAGATCCAATGCCACTCGACTCAAAAGAGGAGCTGTTATAGGCAAAATACATTGACAACTCCTTAAACATGGAACTATTTTTCATTAACAGACACGAATTGTAGTTGTGGACTATTGGACACCCAAGCAAGCATCGAGATATGAAGCCAAACAAACAAATAAGTTATGTGATTTTCTGGCTACTTTTTATACAATGATAATATTGGTGTTAACAAATAAAATAAGCTGGTTGTAGGAATTACTAATTTTGTTTGTTCCAACATTCAACTTGTCAATATCAAAGGGGACTTCTTGAGAATCATTCTGTATTCAAGCAGTTATTATCATCAAGGATCCCAACTTCTGGGTTCTCTTTTGTGATTTGTACTCTATCCTATTCTTTTCAATGAATTAATTTGCACCATAATTACTTTATTTCCTTGCTAATTAAATCACTCTTTTTCCATGAGAGTAAAATATGGAAAACTGCACTTTATTCTCTTTTATTTGCGGCTAATATTTGACATAATCCAAACAATGTCTAACGTATTATTACATATAACTTGAGTTCTCAATTCATTTCGTTGCTCACTCTAACCTTAGGAGAAGTCCAAAAATCTTATTCCAATTCGTTTATATGAACATCCTATTCTCTCTTAGCCTATTAGTACAAATTGAGATTTAAACACATATTAATCAAACAAATTAATTCCTGCTGAAATCATTCTTTATTTCTAATTTCACGTCAAGTAGGAGAATTTGGATGAAATGAAGCTCCACCAACCAACATGAGTGTAGGCATGGGTAACTTTAGGGGGTCTAGTATATAATCAACTTGTCTATTTATTTATAATTTTAGAAAAGAGAAAGATTAAAATATATGGAAAGACATTCTTAGTCTAAGAAGAGGACAAAAAGGTAAAGCAGGCAGCATATGATTCAAGGAAGAAAGAAAATATTCAATGAAGTTTCTTTATAATATTAGCATTAGGTGCAAACATACATATTGAAGCAAAACGTGAAAATTTACTTTGTTTGGACAAAAAAGTGGTAAACATGTGCTATGTTATTTCACACACACACACACAAAAAGCCTTGGCGAACGGCGTTTAGCCTGATACGTTAGGCAACGGTTATATAGCGCATGGTAGGGGTGTACAAAGGAAACCGACAAACCGTACCAACCCGATAATCTGAGTCAAACCGAAAAAAAAACCCGATTATATATTATTTTCTTGGAAAATACTTTATTTAGTTGTATCTTACTAGGACTAAAGAAATATTTTGAGCATAATTTATATGTTTTGTTCTACGCCCCGAAAAAATACGAATAACCCGAAAACCCAAGAAAACCCGAGAAAAACCGAGAGTGAAAAACCCGAGTTATATTGGTGTGGTTTGATCTTTAGATTTAATAATCCGACACAATTAGTTTGGTTTGATAATTATAAAATCCGAACCAACCCGACCTATGTACACCCCTAGCGCATGGTATGCTACTTTAGTGGGCGTTTGGACATAAGAATTATAAAATTTCAAAATAAGGGGAATTTTTTTTTCAAGTGAAAATGATATTTAAAATTTAGAGTTGTGTTTGGACATGAACATAATTTTGGGTTGCTTTTCAAGTTTTGTGAGTGATTTGAGTGAAAATTTTGAAAAATGGCTTTTTGGAGTTTTTCAAATTTTCGAAAATTTCAAAATGCATCTTCAAGTAAAAATTGAAAATTGTATGAACAAACGCTGATTTCGAAAAAAGTGAATTATTTTTGGAAAAAGGAAAAAATTTCTTATGTCGAAATGGGCTCTTAGTTTTTATCAATTTTTTTTCGTATTATTCTTGTTCTTTTGGAAAATTTTCACTCTACTTTGATTTCGGACTCCTATTCACGCCCGCTAGTTACATATAAAAGCATACAAATGTTATTCTTGGTCCAGTTGAGTTCTGCTTTAAGGGATCGTTTGGTAGGAGGTATTAAAAAAATAATGTAAGTATTTGTTTTGTGTATAACTAATTTCTTCTTTGATATATTTTCTTAATTTATATGTATTAATTATATATCCTAATTGGTATTATCCTATGTATAACTAATACACAACAAATCATGGTATTAGCAATGCAAGAGATTTTAATACTTGCATAAACATGGTTAAAGACATAATTGCCCCTCAAATCCGTCAAAGTGTACAAACTTAAAAAATGTATAGGGTATTTTTATAAACAATTAATTTTTTTTAAAAATTATGCAATACTTTAATACGACAAACCAAATAGTGGATAAGAACTAATCTCAATGTAACTAATGTCAGCATTATTAATACCAATATTGATAATATATTCTATTCAGCACTATTCTTATACCTCCTACCAAACGACCCCTAAGAATGGAAGAGGGAGTTAGGGGTGCTCATGGTTCGGTTTGGATCCGTTTTTCCCTAAAAAGAAACCAAACCAAGTAAGTTGGTTTTTCAAATATTAGAACCAAACCAAACCACTTAAGTCGGTTTTTTCTTGATTCAGTTTATGTCGGGTTTTATCGGTTTTTCGGTTTTTTCTTAAATATAAGACATACATTACCAAACACATATTTCGGAGACCACATTTCAACGTAACACTATCAAATCAATTGCCCTTTGAGAAATCTATTATTTACCAAGATATATTGATGATAATTGAATCAAAATTAAATAGTGATGAATAATTTAAGGACTCGATTAAAAATATATTATTTTAACAAGAAATGGATTCTTACACTTAACAAAAGAAACTATCAATCAAACTAGAATGTAAAGGTAAAGAACTATACTAAAAGTGCAAACTATTAACATTTACCATTAAATTTTTGAAACTTTGTAGAGAAATATACATATATATAGGTTTAATAATAAATCTAAAATAGTTACTCCTATAGTCGGTTTGGTTCGATTTTTTTCTGATTAAAACCAAAACCAAACTAAATTTGATCGGTTTTTAAAATTTAAAACCAAAACCAAACCAAACCAAACCAAAAAGTATCGGTTTTTTTGGTCGATTTGGTTTGGTTTTCGGTTTGGTTCGATTTTTTTCTGATTAAAACCAAAACCAAACTAAATTTGATCGGTTTTTAAAATTTAAAACCAAAACCAAACCAAACCAAACCAAAAAGTATCGGTTTTTTTGGTCGATTTGGTTTGGTTTTCGGTTTGGTTCGATTTTTCGGATTTTTATGAACACCCCTGGAGGGAGTGATGAGCGGTGCGTTAGAGGATGGGCAAAAGTTGCATTAATTTTTTTCTATGGTTATGTTTTAAAGAACAACATTAAGAGTGGTTATTGCTGCAAATCTCCCCTTTTAATTATAATTATCTTGTATAATTATTAGGCGGATAGAAAAATAGCCTAAATAGCCGCTGTGTATAAAATTGTATATCAATGTCCCAAATAAGTGGCTATTTTGTGTAAAGATCCCGGAGCACCAAAACGACATCGTATATAGGCAGAACTGGTGTCCTTTTTGCTGGGGGAAGAAAGAGAGTTACGTCGCCGGCGTTGTGCCCTACTTGCCTGCTAAGAAATTCTGCTCCGGCGAAGTTGGAGAGAAGAATATAGAGAGATGGAACAACTGACTGAAGAAGAGAAAAAGGCACTTCGCGGAAGCAAATTCGCACCGCTCCCTTCTGCTCCATCTTCTTCTCGTTCTCAACCCAGGTATAATAAAGCGAAAAAATTAATTTTTTAAAAAAGGCCCGAATCCCCAATACGCCAAAACGCTAATATCTCTGTATGAATAATGATTACTGACTATATTGTTATATATGATATTCAGGAATTAAGCAGTTGACCCCAACAATTTTGCGATTGAGGCATATAGTAGATGTATATAGATATGGTTGTAGAGAGGAACAAATATAGGCTACAGGGGAATCCAGAATTTGAACTTCATGAGTTCTGCATGTCACTTGACCCACTGATCATTTGAGTTATTGGGTTCTAAATTTGATATGTATACATATTTAGCATATTTGGTGACACATATATATGAATCTTGCCAAAGTTACTTATTTTTTTTTTTTGAAAAAGATACTTATGTAGACATCCGCCTTTATATGGATGATTAATATATAGCCAGTGAGTGAGGAGGAGTTGATTGATTGATTAATTGATACGGATGTGGTGGTCGTAGGCTGGCTCATCCAGGAGGACCAATGAAGACTAACAAGGCAGCAGCTTTAGCCAAATTCTTTGAGAGGAAATTGCAAGACCCCAATGGCTTGGCCTCTCTTGACCCCCGTCTCATTGAAGTCGCCGTCAAAAATGCTAAACACACTGTTCAATCCAGTACTACTTATTTACTAGTACTACTACTTGTTTTAACCCAGTACACTGTTTAATTTCAGATATTCTGCTGGTTTCTCATATTTCTCTAGCTGTGCTAGTGAATCTTGAATCCGAGTTTTTACATGATTTATTGTGATTTAAATTATGCGCTATGAAATCCGGGAGTTCTATTTACTTTCTCTTTTTTCATTCTATCATCACTTGTCATACCCTTTTGTTCTGGTTTCTTTACCACTTCAATTGTGCTACATAATCTTGAATATCCTTTGAGTTTTACATGATTTCTTAAAATTAAATTATGCACTATGACTGTCCAGTAATGATATATACTTCAACTCTTTTTATTCAATCATCATCACTTTGCACTCCTGTTTGATCGCTTAAACTTTTGGTGGTTTGCTTGTATATTTAACTGTGCCACAAAATCTTGAATTGCTTTTTGATAACAAAGTTTTACATGATTTTAAAGATCAAATGATGCACTATGAGAAGGGAAGAAATGGCGCAACAGTAAAAGTTGTCGTCGTGTGACCATTAGGTCAAGGGTTCATGCCGCAGAAATAAACTCTTGCAGAAATGCAAGTTAAGGCTGCGTATGTTAGACCCTATGTGGTCCAGTCCTTCCCCGGACCCCGCAGATAGCGTGAGTTTAATGCACCGGGCTGCCCTTTAAATGATGCACAACGACAATCAGTACACTGCTCTTTTTTTTGTTCAATCATCACTGCTGCTCCCTTTCGCTCTTTAACTTGATATTTTCTGCTAGTTTCTTAATCACATTAATCGTGCCACACTTGAATACCCTTTTGTGTTTTACATGATCTCCACATATTAAGTTATGCACAATGACACGTGGATCCAAGTATGGGTTAATGTGTTTTTTCCCACTACTGCTATATGCTACTACCATTTTCCGGCCCACCATTTCTTGCTCCCATTTGAACGCTTAAAATTTTTTGTGGGTTTCTTTATCAGTTCAACTGTGCTACAGAATCTTGAATACCCTTTTGAGTTTTACATGATTCTTTTAAGATTGAAATATGCATTACTTTAAGTGAATTGCTGATTGCATCGCGTATCTCCTTCTGCAGTAAATAATTCAGTTTTAGGTAGCTGGACAATATAGTGGCTCAACTTTGAGAAAGTAGATTCTGTATATATAACTGGATCTTTTAGTTCTGTTGCGCGTAGTCTAGCTATGTTTTCTGTCTCCTTAATGCATGCAGTATTTCGGCTGACTAAGTTCCCAAGTTGGCTTGCAAAATGATGCCGTAAACTCCTTTGGGCATTTGATGTCCTTATTTTACTAATAAACAAATCTTTGGTGAGAAAAAAAAACTTGAAATAGAAAGCAGGGCAACTAATTTAATGCTGATAAATTAGCATTTGATTTATCTTACTTTGGGGTTGTGTCCCATCGTTTTTTGGGATTCAGTTTGAAGCTGTGGTACAGTATATACTTTCTTTCTGCTAGTCACTAAGTCCCATTTATTTTCCAAAAGCTGACATAAACTTCAAACTTAGTACTCTCCCAAAATAATAAACATGTGATTTCACAGCTTTGATTAGTTTGTGGAAAACTTTGTGATCGTAACGGGTGCTTTTTGTTAAATGGGTTACTTGATCTAATTGAAGAAACATTGGAAGCCAAAGTTAGTAAAAAAAGCATTTGAATTCAATTTTTCCCCCCAGATGACAGTCTTTTGTGCAAATACACCATTTTAGTCTCTTTCTGGTTGAATAGTACCGGACCTCCTTTAGAAGGAGTCCAATAGACATACAGTTCTAAGGATTTTTATTTTGAATCCCTATAAAATTGTAACTTAGATTTGAAATTTATCTCAACTCCGAACTTAACAAAATAATATTTGGATACTGAAAACCAACATTAAAGCCACATGCAGCCAGTCAAAGTAGATTATACATGTTACATGTTGCTCTGTATTTCAACCGAATTTTTCTGGTCAAAAGTTTTGTTACTTGATTAGGCTTTTCAAACTGAAGATCGTTTTGACGTTTAGTGCTTGAATCTAACCAATAAATAATACGAATATGATTTTAGTTTGTAATGCTATATGAAGTTGCTCATTGCCTGTCATTAAATGAGGTGATAGTATTCATCTTACAGAAGTGCCCTTCATTTGCATGCCTTTTTAGCTGGTCTAAAATTTGGATATTGCGATAGAGCATAATTACTCTCTTACAATTTGGAAATGGAACAGGTGGGACATCAAGTACAGGAAGAACTGTTCATCAAGTACATCAAGTACAGGACATCACAATTTTACACGATTTGTGATTTCTATTAAGATCTTTCGCATGTCAAAGATCTATTAAGTATTCAAGCCTGACTAAGTTGGCACAATCTTTTTCAGGGATCTGCTGAAGAAGAAGAAGATATAAAAATATCCATCTCAAAGAAAAGTAAGAAAAACAAGAAGAGGAAGAAGTTGAAGAAGGAGAAACAGCACAAGGTATTCTATCAGTATACACATCTTCTATCGTTTATCTTTTGCCTTCCATGTTAGTCCTGAATGTGGTTTTTGGCCAGAAACTAGAGGAGTTTTCAAATGGAAAGGCGAAAAAACCTAAAAAGCAGCTGAAACTATGATCTACATGGGCTTTCAAACTTTGATGTTGTTAGATTATTGGAGCTTTAAATAGATAGATGGCATGATAAGAGCCAGTAACTTCCTACTACTTTGAGATTTTACAGTTTCAGATGCTAACTGCACATTCCATCGTCAATCTTGGTCTTCTCAAATTGAGTTAGTATTCTTTGCTTTGCCAGCTGTGCAATTATTTCATTTTTGTATCATTTTACTGTGTGCTCTGAGATCTTGGAGAGAGTCAGAAGCTTCAATAACATTCATAGTTGGAAGGAAATATTTCTTGATGAGATTGTTCAAGGTTGGCAGGTGGTAGTTTAACCTGCAGTACTCTAGTGAAATAGAGAATCTGCAGTAAGCCTATAAGATAAATCGGAAAAGATGCAAATTTTAAAGGTTAGCCAACACAATCTAGAATAATTATACAAGAAAATTGAAAAAATAGCAAATTTTAAACGTTGGCCAACACATTCTCCTATATGTTATCTGCATATGAAAATATCCTCCTTTGCAATATGATGCAAAAAAGAAGAAAGAGTCTGCAATAACCATAATCGAAAAAGATACTTCCTCTGCTTCATCTTATGTGACTCTTTATTTATTTATTTATTTATTTTTTTTTATCTGTTGATTTAACCACCACATAAATCTCATGACTTGTTTAAGAACATAAGTTATACTAACAGTCCCTTTTTCCCCTTAAACTCTGTGCTGAATAACTATCATGTGTTACTAAAAAAATTCTCCCATTAACCAACTCGGTCCATGTACAGCCTACGACTATGTTTGCGGTTAAAAAAGGGCGAATAATGCAAAGGATAGACTGCTCGACAAGTTGGCCATGTTACACTTCAAAAGTAAAATATCGATCAATGCCTTAAACTTTCAATCTGCTGAATAACAATTAAGTGGACAGAGATCTATAAAGAACCGTTCCGTTAATTTTTCATGATCGCGGCTTAAGAATTCATCAGAGTTGCTTATTCATACTTGGAAAAATAAATGTAGGCTTTAACTTTTGAGTGTTCTTTTCTCGGTGATTAGATAGATGAATGTCAAGCAAACAGAAGCAAATAAAGAATTTGAAGGTTTCGGGTGCTATACTATTTTAAGCGCAGATGTATTACTATTTACACGGTTGAAATAGGATAAATCTTTGGTCAATTTGATCCATTTTAGGCTTCAGTTCAGATTATTCTTCGTTTTCAGTTTATATAAACAAATCGCTTGAAAAAAAATATAATAATTATGATAATTTTGCACAAAGCATAAAACTTTCAAAATACTATACTAATATTATAAATGTAGATCTTTCATTTGCAATCCTCCTCGACGAGTTTTAAAATTTGAAGACGGTCAATGATGTCATCATTACTTACATTTGCTAATAGTCCACTCTTTTTGGTGAAAGATCAAAATAATACTGCAAATTTAAAAGAAATATAATCCACATTCATTATTTTCAAAATCTAAACCTTTTTTCTATTTATATTTACTATTTAAACCCATTTTTATTGGATTAATATTTATGTAATTTTTTAAATTTAGAACTTAGTGAGACTAGTAATTAAAATAGCGAGAAAAAGTCAAGAATAAATTTAAAAAAAATAGTCAACTAGGATTAATAAAGGAATAGTAAAAAGAGCAAAATACATGTAAAATTGTGTATTTGCAGCAAGCCAAAAAAAGCAAAACACACAAAAAAATATAAAAACGAAACCGTGTATTTGAGACAAGCCAAAAGAGCAAATTACACGTGAAAATTTTTATTTGCAACAAGCCAGAAAAAGCAAAAATACACGTTGAAGGCTGAGTTTGAACTCCCATCCATTTGGGAGGGATTCCTTGCTCTTTGCCAGTGGCAACTTGCACCAATCTAGCATTTTAGGTGCCACCTTTGTGAGCGTGTAATTTTTGCCCGATGACAATATTCCTACAAAATTCATAAAAATAGATTTTCTCTAATTGTTTTAATTTTATAGAATTTTAGGAATTCCTCTTTAAATTGTCTATCTGCACTTAGTCGCATTTTGTGCGTATTTAATATTTCAAAAATCATGAAAAATATACAAAAATGTCCAAATCTTCTTGCATAGCATTTTAGGTTTTTATTTGCATTTTTAGGATTTAATTACGTTTATTAGTTTCATCATTAAACGAAAATCGTAAAAATACAATGGTCATTTTACATTTTTTTAGCTTTTTGTCTTAAATTAATAATTTTTATTTATTAGTATAAGTTAATTAATTATTAAAAAATAGATGAATAATTTTAATGTTGCAAATTAGGTTCGATTTAGGATTTAATTTAGGCTTTAATTAGTTTAATTAGGATTTAAAATCAAAGAAAGAAAGAAAGAAAGAAAGAAAGAAAGAAAGAAGGAAGAAAGAGGTTGTGAGTTATTTGAATTGGACTGGCCTCAATGGCCCAAAGACCTCACAATCTCGCCCCAGCCCAAACCCAATCCCCTATCCGGTCCACACCCCTTATAAACCAAATGACACCGTCTCGGTATAGTTGATCTCAACCCTCCATTCCTCTTGATCGGACGGACAGGAACTGAACCCTTCTCCCCTTAAGACTATCTGAATTGGTCACTCCCAATCCTCAGAACCTCTCATTCCTCATCTCCTTCACCTCTCATCCAAACCCTAGCCGCCCTAAGCCACCCTGTCGGCGGCACCACTCCAAATCACCCCAAATCCACAACCCCCATCCTTCCCTCATCACACATCTCCGTTCAATTTCACCAGAAACCCCACCAAAATTGTCGATTTTCAGATCCAAAAAAAAAAAAAAAACTTAGTTAGGCCTGCTTCAAATATCTTTGGTATTTTTGGTTGTTTTGGTTTGAGACTCACTTGAATCAATTGCTCTTGACGAGAGCAATCATTTTAGGTTAGTTTTGATCCATTTCTAAATACACCGGAATCCGGCCAGCTTTTATAGCATCTGTTTTGGAGCCTTTTAGGTATATTTTCTTCTTTTTCTTTTTATTTCCTTATATTCTTGGAATTATTTAGCAAACTCATATGTTTGCCGAAGTTTGAGGTTAACATTGCCCTTAGGAAGCGGATTGATTAGATTATTAGATTGTTTTAGGTTACTTGGTTTTGATTTTAACTATTTCTTTATTAATTTAGGTCTTTATTAGTTGCATCATTAAACGAAAATCGTAAAAATACAATGGTCATTTTACATTTTTTTAGCTTTTTGTCTTAAATTAATAATTTTCATTTATTAGTATTAAGTTAATTAATTATTAGAAAATAGATGAGTAGGTTTAATGTTGCAAATTAGGTTCGATTTAGGATTTAATTTAGGCTTTAATTAGTTTAATTAGGATTTAAAATCAAAGAAAAAAGAAAGAAAGAAAGAAAGAAGGAAGAAAGAGGTTGTTAGTGTCACACCTCCTTTTGGCCCGCGCCCGCCGGGCCACAGAGGGATTAGGGGAGTTTTTCCAATTAAAGGACAATCAAAACGGAATTTATTATTTAATTCAGAGTTGCCACTTGGGAGATTTATGGTGTCCCAAGTCACCGGTTTAATCCCGAATCGAGGAAAAGAATGACTCTGTTTAATAGTCCGCGCACCAGAAATCCGAGTAAGGAATTCTGTTAACTGGGGAGAAGGTGTTAGGCATTCCCGAGTTCCGTGGTTCTAGCACGGTCGCTCAACTGTCATGTTTAGCGTATTTATCTGATTTTTAAACCTTTGAACCCATGTGCCAATTTTGACTTTTAACCGATTTTATCATTTATTATTTAAAGAATTGCAACGTCATGAGAATGCATCTCGAATTGCGCCACATAAATGTACCCGCAATTTTCGATACGTTCCAACTTCGTTGAGATTTGGATTTGGGTCACATAAATGTGCACCTGAGTTTAGGAAGATAACATTATTAAATACGCGCCTAAAGACACTAACGCGTTGTTATTTTGAGAAAAGCCGTAAAGTTCGCTATGCGGCCTATCTCAAAATCTAAGCATTTGAAATAACTATCCGTTGAGGGCCCCGCAATTTGTAATTTATTCGGCGAGGCACACCTCACTTATTTTTAAAAGGGCTAATCAGCCACTTCTATTATTTATTTTTTTAAAGAGATTGCAACGTCGTGAGAATGCATCTCGAACTGCGCCACATAAATGTACCCGC